ACGTCGCATTCTGGTGGAGTCGCAATGTGAACGTCGCATTCTGGTGGAGTCGCAATGTGAACGTCACATTCTGGTGGCGTCGCAATGTGAACGTCACATTTTGGTGGAGACGCAACGTAATCGTCACAGTCTGGAGGAGTCGCAATGTGAACGTCATGTTCTGGTGAAGTCGCAATGTGAACGTCACGTTCTGGTGGAATCACAATGTGAATGTCACATTTGATCTTGCTCACTGGGGAAGGCCTGCCATGTGAGCTGTGTCTGTGGTAAGGACTGCATACATCTGCAATAAAAAAAAAGAAGAATCAAAATTAGCACCTTCACCTACATTTCATATATTTTTCTTTATACAACATCAAATTATAGAGAGAAAAGTTCAAAACTCCAGTGCCAGGGACAATAAATATACCCGACATGACAGGGACACAGGGATGACTATTGTTGGCCTTCGTATAAAAATGCTGGTTTCCTGGTACTCCTCCCTACCCACTGGCTGTGATACTTTCTACAAATCCGTGAGCCATGAAGCCAGCAACAAGTATTTTCAGTGGTGTGATGATGACCTATCATATTTAATAAGTGGGCGGGTCACAAAGAAAGTTATGAAGCTGCACCTGCCTGGCTGTGCCTTGTGGTAGGGGTTGGTAAATCATCAGACCAGCTAAGAAGAATTACAAAAAGATTTAAAAGAAAAACAGAGGTTTTGTTAACTGGCAGCATTGGTCAGAAAGTGTCATTTATCAGCCCTGAGATCAGACGGAAGACGGGTCAATTGATATGGAGTGGGTCATACTCAACCCTGACAGTCTACTGATATATTTGCTTTGGCAGTAGGAATATTTGTTTGGTTTTCCTATCATTGTTTTATAGATATGCATACTGTCCCTTTCATTGATATACACTGTATATTAACCAGTTCTACGCCGCCCTATAGCAGAAATACTGCTACAGGGTGGCACGAGTGCGCAAAAGCACACACACACACATATATATATATATATATGTGATTTTGCAGTTCCAGGTAGGGGGCGCACATGCCCTACCTGTGCCGCCATTTGTGGCCTTGGCTGTCAATCACCAGGTCCTGGCCGGTGATTACTCATGTGGGTTGATGAGGCTGCACTGACAGGCAGCACTGATGAGGCGGCACTGGTGGGAACTGAGGAGGAGGCACTGATGATGCTGCACTAATAGGTGGCACTGATGGGCACCACTGCTGATTATCAGTGCAGATGTTCTCTGTGACACTTGCCTGTTATTGGCAGTACTTTCCTCATGCTGTCACAGCGTGGGAAAACTGCTGCCAATAACTGGCAACTGTATTTATTTTGTGATCAGCTGTGTCATTGAGGGGAAAATGTCACCAGCACACCGAGGCTCCCCAATATGGGTCCAAACGTTTTCATGAACGATCACATAGTTACAGCAAGGCAACGTTTCAGAGTCTCGCAGGACCCCTTCATCAGGTCACATGCCTGTTGAAGGGGTCCTTTGAGACTGAAATGTTGCCTTGCTGTAACTATGTGATTGTTCATGAAAACGTTTGGACCCATATTGGTGATCCTCGGTGTGCTGGTGACATTTTCCCTTGCTGATTCTGTTCGGTTCCAGCCGACGGTCGCCGCAGCACCCATATACACACAGCCATGTTTAACGCAGGAACGTGTGTTTGGATTGTACACTTGCATTGTGACATTGGACACAGCTGATCACGTGGTAAAAGGCCGCTGTGATTGGCCTGTTACCTTATCATGTTATTAGCTGTGTCTGTAGGACACAGCGATCACAGACAACACTGGGTGTCGCATTCTGGGAGGACGTCATATGACGCCCCCCTTAGAACTGGACAACCGTGCTGTAGCCGTCATTTGGCTATATCCCAGTTGTCAAGTGGTTAAAGGTCTCATTCCTTTTTCTGAAAACAATAGAATGACTGAGTTTACGAAAAAAGCTGGAATTTTGTTTTGTCTGTCCACAGCACATTCTCCAAAAAGGATTTTGGCTTCCTCAGGAAAGTTTTGGCAAACTCAGATCAGGCTTTTTTATATTTCTGTGTCAGCAGTGGGGTCCTCCTGGATCTCCTACCATAGCATCCCTTTTCATTCAGATGGTGACATATAGTGCGAGCTGACAGTTGTACCCTGTGCCTGAAGGTCAGCTTGAATTTGTCTGGAAGTTGACCAAGGTTCTTTAGCCACCATTTGAACAATCCTTTATTGCAATCTGTGATCAATTTTTCTTCTTTGCAATCTTTGTTCACATCCAGGGAGATTAAAGTGCCATGGCTGTAAATGTCTTGACAATGTTGCGCACGGTGGACACGGGAACATTAAGATCTCACAACTCCTACAACCTCCCTCCCCCCCATCCTACGCTCCCTCACCCACATCTTCAATCTCTCCCTCTCCTCCGGCACTTTCCCTTCCCCTCTGAAACATGCACACATCACCCCCATACTTAAAAAGCCCTCCCTGGACCCCAATGACCCGAACAACCTCAGACCCATCTCCCTGCTCCCATTTACATCTAAACTCCTCGAGCGCCTAGTCTACACCCGCCTATGCTCTCACCTCAACGACAACAACCTCCTCGATCCCCTACAGTCCGGCTTCCGTCCCCTACACTCCACCGAAACTGCCTTACTCAAACTCTCCAACGACCTGCTAACCGCCAAAGCTAATGGCCACTATTCAGTGCTCCTACTCCTTGACCTCTCTGCGGCCTTCGACACAGTCGACCACCCCCTCCTCCTCAAAAAACTACACTCCCTCGGCCTCAGAGATTCTGCTCTCTCCTGGCTCTCATCCTACCTGTCACAACGCTCTTTCAGCGTTACCTATAATGCCACCACCTCCCCTCTCACTCCCCCTCTCTGTTGGGGTCCCTCAAGGCTCTGTCCTTGGGCCCCTTCTCTTCTCCATCTACACCTCCTCCCTTGGCCAACTCATACACTCCCACGGCTTCAACTACCACCTCTATGCCGACGACACACAAATCTATCTCTCAACCCCCCACCTCACCCCCTCGGTCTCCACCCGAATCACACACCTGTTGAGCGACATATCAGACTGGATGTCGCTCCACTTCCTTAAACTGAACCTCTCCAAAACCGAGTTTCTTGTCTTCCCTCCAGCCCGGACACCACCCCCCATTGACTTCTCCATCATGTCCAACAACGCCACCATCAAACCCGCCCCGCAGGCCAGAGTACTTGGTGTCATTTTGGACTCCAACCTATCCTTCCAGCCCCAAGTCCACTCTTTAACAAACTCGTGCAGACTCCACCTCCGCAACATCGCCAAAATCCGCACGTTCCTAACTCCAGAAACCACTAAACAGCTCATCCACTCCCTCATCATATCACGACTCGACTACTGCAACTCCCTCCTCACTGGCCTGCCTTGCCGCTGGCTATCCCCGCTTCAGTCCATCCTGAATACGGCTGCCAGACTCATTCACCTTTCCAACCGCTCCGTTTCCGCCACCCCCCCTCTGCCAATCCCTCCACTGGCTTCCGATTGCGCAACGGATCAAATTCAAAATCCTAACGCTAACGTACAAAGCTGTCCACCATACTGCCCCCCGAACTACATCTCTGACCTAATATCCAAGTACCGCCCAACACGCACACTCCGCTCCTCACAAGACCTCCTTCTCTCTAGTTCCCTGGTCTCCTCCTCCCATGCCCGCCTCCAGGACTTCTCCAGGGTGTCACCCATCCTCTGGAACTCCCTGCCCCAACCCATCAGATTATCACCTACTCTCCTCTCCTTTAGGCGCACCCTGAAAACCCATCTCTTCAGGGAAGCCTACCCCGCCCCCTGCTAACTTGCCGACCTCCTCCACTCTTCCTACCACTCCATCCCCCACAGCTATCTCCTCCTGTGCCACCATCCCCTCCCTCCTAGATTGTAAGCTTGAAAGAGCAGGGCCCTCGATCCCCTCATGTTTTGCATTGTATTGGTATTGTTCTGTCACATGTTCTGTCCCCCTTTATAATGTACAGCGCTGAGCGAACTATTGGCGCTTTATAAATACTGTATAATAATAATAATAATCTCTGGAGATGGACTTGTATCCTTGAGATTGTCCATGCTTTTGCACAATTTTTGTTCTCAAATCCTCAGACAATTCTTTGCTGCTCTTTCTCTTCTCCATGCGGCACACTGAGACACACAACAGAAAGGTTGAACCAGTATTTCACCATTTTACCTGGTTGCCGGTGTAACTTCTACATTGTCAGAACCTGTTGATACAGGTGAGTTTAATTACAAATTACTGGAGCAGCACAAACAAATGCAATTATTTCTTACAATTTTGAGGTGCCAATAATTTTGTCCAGTCCATTTTTGGGGTTTTGCGTGGAATGTGACAGATTTGTCTTTTTGTTTCTCCATTTTTTGTGTCCTACCAATACAAACAAAAGAATTAAACATGAGAATGCCTAAACATTTGTAATTGCAACAATTTTCTGGGTGAAGTGGTGCATTATCTAACAGAAATCCAGGGGGGACAATATTTTTGGTCATGACTGTATGTACTCCCTCTCTGATGCAGCAGTAAAAATGTGGCTCAGCCCCCCACCCCAAGTGGGCCTTTCTGTCTCAATAATAGTGGTCACCAAGAAAAACAGAAAGGGTGAATCTCTCCAACGGGGACACGGTCAGCAATATAAATGCGACGGGTTCTCTTCCATCTATACTATAAACATTAAAGGTTTTGGCTACATTTGGCACTTAATGAGGGAATGACAAGCTCTCTGAACAGATCCCGTCCTACATAAGGGACTGTTTCTGATCCTTAGCAGACAAAACACTGCACAGCCATGTACTGTATAGACTAGAGGGAACATTTCCTTCCAGAGCAGAGAGGCATGGCGGGAAATGGATGCTCAGCCTTCTCAGGGCACACAGGACTACACCTCCCATGATTCCGTGCGGCGGCTGGGAATACATGGGCGGGTCCTGGCGGTGCTGCTGACCGGTGAGCACATTTTCATCATGTCGTCCGGCTGTAAGATTGGTCCGTCTATCCTGAACAGCGATCTGTCTCGTCTGGCGGCGGAATGTGAGCGGATGCTGCAGAGCGGGGCGGACTACCTGCACCTGGATGTGATGGACGGGTGAGAGCGGGCGGTGTGGTCGGTGCCGTGCTGGGGTATTGGGGACGGTGCTGCTTCCTCATACATGGAGTCTCATAGGACACCCAGGTGACTGTGGTAATACAGGACGCACATGGGAGGGTGAAGGTGGCCATAGCCCGGGTTGGGGGGTGCCGTGTACAGACTATGGGGCTCCGACATTGTGTACCTGACTGGGCTGTCTGTACATGTTTATCAGGTGAGGAGGGAAGAAGAGGGTCACATCTGAGGAGAGGCCAGGAGCAGGGAGAGGGTGTGTAGGGGCTCATTCACTCGGGTGCAGGGGGCGTACGCCACCAGGATCCATTCACTCGGGTGCGGGGGGCGTACACCGCCAGGATCCATTCACGCCGGGGGGGGGGGGGCCAGTACACCGCCAGGATCCATTCACACGGGTGCGGGGGGGCGTACACCGCCAGGATCCATTCACACGGGTGCGGGGGGGGGGCGTACACCGCCAGGATCCATTTCACACGGGTGCGGGGGGGCGTACACCGCCAGGATCCATTCACACGGGTGCGGGGGGGGGGGGGGGGGGCGTACACTGCCAGGATCCATTCACACGGGTGCGGGGGGGGCGTACACCGCCAGGTTCCATTCACACGGGTGCGCGTACAGCGCCAGGATCCATTCACACGGGGTGCGGGGGGGGGCGTACAGCGCCAGGCAGGATCCATTCACACGGGTGCGGGGGGGGCGTACAGCGCCAGGATCCATTCACACGGGTGCGGGGGGGCGTACAGCGCCAGGATCCATTCACACGGGTGCGGGGGGGCGTACACCGCCAGGATCCATTCACACGGGTTTGCGGGGGGGGCGTACACCGCCAGGATCCATTCACACGGGTGCGGGGGGCGTACACCGCCAGGATCCATTCACACGGGTGCGGGGGGGCGTACACCGCCAGGATCCATTCAGTCGGGTGCGGGGGGCGTACAGCGCTAGGATTCATTCACTCGGGTGCACCTCCAAGATCCATTCACTTGGGTGCAGGGGGCTTACGCCGCCAGGGCTCATTCACTCGGGCGCAGGGGGCATTACCCGTTGGGATTAATTTACTGGGGTGTACACTGCCGGTATTCATTTACTCGGGTGCGGGCAGTAAAAGGCACAGCTCAACCATGGGGTTTTGTCTTCTGCCTTACAATGTGAGTGAGCCCTTAGGCTTCTTTTACACCAGGGGCAGTGCTGTCTACTGCTGATCGCTTTTCAGAGGGCAGTATAGCAGCGGTTGGCAGACATTTAGGAGATGATCCTGCCACCTCCTGAACGTCCCCTTTTTTTTTTTTTTTTTCTTTTTTTCTTTCAATCCCAAAATGTAAAATGATTGCAATACAATTATGAAGCAAGCATTTGGCTTGTGGTTGCAGTGCACTCCCATTGAACTCGGGAAGGGGGGGGGGCAGGTTTAAAAGGCAGTGCCGTCTCAAACTCTGCAGCTGGGGTTAAAAATGCTGCAGCAAGTGTACATTTTTTTTGAAAACTCCCGAGTGCACAGCCCTGTCAGTCTGTAATTTTAGCATTGGAGTGGGAGTTCAGGTGCACATGTGAAAAAGTTTAAGTGCCTGGCCTACTGGCTTCTAAAAAGCAATTCACCATAGCTCACTTTTCAGAGGGGTGTAGAGAGTGCCACTCATGCACATTAACCCTTTGCAGAGTCACAGTTTGCATGCAGACTGACCAGTCACCACAGCTGTGTGGATGTAACCACATATCCAACCAGTTACATGTGTACACACTGCTCACATTCAGGCCCATTCATCTGTCTGTGTATACATGGAACTGTTCAATTATATCCGCTCCTGTCAGCCAGCCCTTGATTTGTGTACAGCTTGCTGAATACAAACATGTGACTCTTGGGCACAGAAATCGCTGAATCCTGGCAGTGTGCATGTGAGTGCTAAAGCATATGCAGTGTGTCTCCCCTGAAGCTGGCCATGCATCTTTCAGTCTCAACAAATGTCTTTAGATCTGCCATGTAGTCGGAGAGCCTGTGTACAAAACGGAGAATACAAGTGGTAGGCACGTGAGTACACTGATGGCATCTGGTAATCCTGTTATGGGTGGAGACCATATCAATATTAAAGATGTTTGAATAACAGTGAATTCTTGGACACAGCATGTTTATTACACTATAAACAGAATACTAAATTCACTTTGATTTTTTTTGGGGGGGGGGGATTATATTCCTGTCATTTACTGGGGGGTGTTGGTTCTTGGTTATATAGATGGTGTGGGAAACTTGAAGTAGTTATTAGTTTATAACTCCAATATTTAGTTTAAAATATTTATTTTTATTATACTGTGTTTTTTTTTTTTTTTAAATCTATAATTGAATGTCAGCAGTGAACTTGTTTGTCTAGCACAGGGGTCTCCAAACTTTCCAAAGAAAGGGTCAGTTTACTGTCCTTCAGACTTTAGGGGTGCCAGTCTGTGCCCAGTGGAAGTAAATAATGTCTGATCTTTGGTATTAGGGGGAGAAATAGTTGGTGTCAGTGGTAGGATTTGTGCCCCATTTGTGTTGTCGGTGTACGGAATTATGCCTCATGGTTGGTGTCGGGAGAAGGAATAGTGCCTGATTGTAGGTGTCAGTGGCAGGATTAATGACTCAAGGGCCTGATAAAAGCAAGCAAGGGGCCGCAGTTTGGAGATCACTGGTCTAGCACATTTCTAACGTGGCGTTTTTTATGGACAGAAGGAAGCACCAATGCCATCTGATAGAGGGGATTCATAGTAAAATGAATTTCCTTTTTCTGTTTATGATGTACTGTAGTTCTACCTGACTAATTACAAGCTGGGAGGATAAGCCAGAGCTTCTTCCAAATAATTCTGGCAGTTCTAAAGACTGGATAGTTTGTGCATTCAGCTTGACTGTTACCAGCATAAGAATTGTCAACTGGAAGATTTCTTATATTCAAGATCATACGTCCGTGTGGCCATAACTCGGATTACCCTCATGTCTGTGGTCTCACTCACATCTATGTGCTGCATTATCAGAAGTTTTTTCCGTGTGTTTTACATGCAGTCTTCTGCTCTTCCGTCACTTTGGTGACCTTCTCTATGGGCTAATAAGGGTTGCCATCTGGCTAGTATTCCCCCAGCCTTGTCTGTACAAATAGAACGTGGACTAGGTAGACATGCAGCTAAGATTGCCATGCTGCTGAAAAGCAATCTTGCTGTGAAACACTTTTTAGAGGCTCTTGACAGGCTGTGAGATGGCAGTATCATGCCTCCTCACCACCTGTTTTAACCCTGTAAATCCACATCACTATGCACATGTTTAAAGGGCAGCCCCGATTGCAGAATGGGTTACAATTGGCAGTGTTACTGTCTGCCAATCATCATCATCATCATTATTCAGGATTTCTGTCATGACGGAGGGATAATTTTTGCCATAGCTACAGAGCAAAACATCATGGTGGCATCATGTTGTTTCTCCCCCCCTTTCTCTCTGGCTGCCTATGCAGCGTAAGAGGGTTACTAAAATTGCAGCTTAGCCATCTATTTTACTGCCCCCTGACCGCAAGTGTACCCTTTTGTGCTCCTAAATCTATCTAAAATCTTTTCTATAAATTTGTCACCTTTGTGCTAACGTTTATATGCATACAATACAGTAGGGTGAGGCGGTTGCTATGACGCAGGTGGCTCCTGTCACTAAGGGGTTTATTTACTAAAGCTGGAGAGTCCAAAATCAGACTCCCTTCTGCATAGAAACCAATCAGGCTTCTAACCTCAGCTTGTTCAATGAAGCTTTGGCAATGAAACCTGGAAGCTGATTGGTTTCTATGCAGAAGGGAGTCTGATTTTGGACTCTCCAGCTTTAGTAAATAAACCCCTGGTGTCTTTGATATTTAGGACCAATAGTGTATATTTACAATAAGCCCAGTACGCATGGAAACATTGGCTTTTTTTAACTTTGCTAAAGATTACAGACCTGGGCTCAAAGCATAACATACAGCTGTGTTTGGGTCTGTAAGAAAAAAAAAAAAGTACACTTTACAGATCTGCAGCATATTTTGTGGCCACGTGCATGAGCCCTTGATTGTTAAAGTAGAAATGATGGCCTCACATCAAAAAATGTGTTCTGCTCTACTTAAATATCAGTTTATCTGCCCTTGCAATTTTCTATTGGCCCCTCTGCAAAGTTCCACAAATACCTGTTGATCCTGCCAGTAAAGTCTACCTAATGCAGCTTCCTGTGATGGTGTGGCAACAATGCTGCACTGCTCCTGAATTCACAGCAGTGTTGTGGTCCTGTAGGCTGTGTCTGCTTGCACTATTATGGAATTGATGGTCAAACCTACAGCTTTGCAATTAACACCTGACCAGACCTAGCCCTGCCCACTGCTGTCTGGATTGGAGGCATTGCCTCTGAGGCTAAAACCCTTCCACTGTGAGCAGCAGTAACTTGGAGGGGAACATGAGAGGCACAAATAAAGGAGGATTTGGCTCAGGGAAGGTGGAGTGTGTTTTTGCTTTTTTGACATAGGTTGCTGGGGAGAGTAACACTCCCTTGTAATGTATTGCAGATAACCTGTTCTTAGATGTGGTGACTGCATTAATTCCTTTTTTTCAGTCTTTTTCCTCTTTATTTTCACCTGGTGATCCTGCCAGTAACACATTTCCTGTCTTACTGGCTGAGGGTGACCACACACACCCCCTTTAACTAGTTGCCGACCGCAGATAGCCGAATGACGGCTGCACTGCGGCCGGCCAGTTCTGTGTGGACGTCATATGACGTCCTCCCAGAACGCGCACTCCAGCGTGCCCCCCAGGGCGCGCACCCCGGCGATCTCCGTGATCGCTGTGTCCTACGGACACAGCTGATCACGTGATGTGGTAAAAGGCCAATCACAGCGGCCTTTTACCACGTGATCAGCCGTGTCCAATGACACGCTGATCACCGGGAAATGCAAATGCCGGTTCTCGGCTGCACTTTCCTCACGCTGTCAGATCGTGAGGAAAGTACTGCCGAAAACCGG